TTATGCGTTAATATAAAATGCAGCTGGACCATTAAGCTAACAGTAAAAGTGCCATAAAATAGAGAAAAAACGAAATTCACTTTTTTTGTTGAGCAGCGCCAGAGATATGTTTGGCAAACATAAATTTAGACAACGGAAAACTCTGTGAATAATTTGTGATGCTTGTGTCAGCATTTCAATTTTTAAATTGTGGCCAAAGCTGACGGCCATGCGGCGTATGCGTAATATTTAATTAAAGCAGCTGGACAAACGTGAACTTAAGCCTTGACACACATATGCAAAGTGCTCAGAGTTCTCTTGTTCAAATTAAATTTGGTAAGTCTGTCTGAGAACGAGATTGAGTTCTCTTTGCCAGATGAATTCATTGCAATGGAATTCCTGCAATTCGATTCTGCATTTCTTTTCTTCTTCATTTCTTATGAATTTCCTTTACGCTGTCTGATTGCCTCTGGCCTCTAGCCAATGACCAAGACTTCTGATTTATAAGCAAAGAGCAATCACAGCCAATGTCGAGAAACAACAACAAGTTGCCGAAAGTTGATTGCGCACAGCAAATGCTTAACAATATTCTCTGTATTTTCTCTTGTTTAATATTGAAAGGCCAACATATTTTTAGTTTTCTTAACGCACACATTAAAAAATAAATTGAAAAGGAAATTATGTCTTCAAGGCATTTTGCTAGTAAATTTATTATATTCGTTTTTTTTTTTTTTGGGTTTTTTGGTTTTCTCATTTGTCTTTTTTATATCTTTTCCTCTTTTATAACTTAAATAATTTACATATAATATTTTTAATTCAGACCAGTTCTAGAGTTCTTGCCTAAGAAAGATGTAAAAGGGCACACCAAACTACATCAATTTTCTTTGATTAAATAAACATTTGTTTTACGCTTCGTAAAGTCTTGGACTTCGTTTTCGTTTTCTCTTAAAACTGTTGAATGTTCATTTTTTCGCAAAGCTTTTTTATGCCTCAGGACCCCCATTTACAATCGATTACTGTGGAACAATTGAATGGCAAATGCCAACAATGAGAAGTGACGTTCAGTTTAATAGGAGAACAATGAGAACCGGCATTTGCTTGAATAGGAGTTTTATTACATGGACTGTGTTTACAGTTGAAGTACTTATTATTGTTTGTATATTAAATATTTCGGTTAAAAATTTAGAATTTAAGTATTTTTTTATTTATTTAATTACTTTTTTTTTTGTGTATATTATTATATATCGAAATTTATTGTTTACATATTCTATCTAATATATAGAAAATTGTTCTACACAATTTTTCATATATTCTTTTAAAATAATAATCTAAAAATTAAGATATAATATTTTTCTTATCATACTTTCAGTATCCGTTACATACAGCTTCACAATTTTTTTTTTTTTTTTTTTTTAAAAATATGTATTATTTTTTTTAAACAGGCTTTCTACT